CATTTTGGACAAATTACATACTTTAAGCCATAGTTGCCTGTTGCTATAGAATATTTTGGGAACTCAGTGACCCTTGCCGTTATTTATCTAACTGATAAAAATATTCTGTTCCTGTAAGGTGATGACTTTTAAACCTGTGATTAATTTCATGTTAAAATGAGTTTAAAACAACAGAAAATGTGAGCTCCTTGTACACTGATAGTCATACAATCTCATGGGTCAGAAGGTTCATAAAAAAAGGATCTAGATAGCCCTATGTTCCATGAAGCACAACATGAAAAATTATGATTTGATCTAATTTTTATTACCATTTTCATACTGATCACCACTAATAGTTATTAGGTTCCAAAATACAATTTTATTAGCATATCAATAATTTCTTCCCTGATTATCAGGATACCATCAGGATTGTTTCAATAATATTACACATGACCATCATTTAACCGATTTTAGTAATGTACCAAAGTAAATATGCTAATTTTAAAGGACAGTTTAAAATGAATAGTAGTTACCTGCAAGAATAGGTAGGTTCTCCAACTTTAAAAACTCGGCCACAAAGATGTGAAGGTTTGTTTGCTTGCTCAAGTTTTTGAAAGCCATAAGTAGGATCTTCACCACAAAGATACCATTCCATTGGGCCCAGAAGAACATGTTGTGCAAGCATATCTTCTCTTTCAGGGGCTGGATTGGGACCTCTGCAGTAAATTTGGGGCACATAATAGGCTAGGTGCTTATATATTTCTTTAGGAAGATCAGATGCTTGCAGCCAGTTCTGCAAGAAAAAAGTGAAAAAAGTACAAAATTAAAATAATATACAGCTACCCAGTTCTAAGAATAAAAGCTATTGATGGATTGAAAAATGTTAAACTCAATATTAAAGCTGGCTTTAACACCCAAAATTCACAGGAACATTTTGAACATACTGAAATGCTCAGTACACCCATAAATTGATGTCACCTATGTACCATACATTCTTGTAGTTGAAGAATGTCAAATAAATTGTGTGTTTATATAAATTGTATACATTGTATAAATATTGTTTAAAAGTAGACACAAAAGGAGGACTTCCGGTGGGACGGCGCGCCGATGGCGGCTCTTTTCGGAGCCGTCCGCTTGGGAAGGCGTCAGAGCCAGCATGAACAGCGGTCAGCAGCTGTTCAGCGGCTTGGAACCTTGTGCCCCGGGAGAAGGGGTCGAGGTGAGTACTCCTGGATAGGAGTAGAGTCCCAAAGGCTCTCCCTTTATCTCGGGAGAGCGA